AAAAAAAAAAAAAAAAACCAGCTGAATCATCTTTTGGGACTTCAGAGTAGAGGATATTTGCTGGTTACTGCTGACAGACATTTAATAAGAAGGAATTTCTATGAAAATAAGAAGATAGGCCAGGCACAGCAGTTCACACCTGTAATCCCAGCAGTTCCTGAAAGAATGGCTTGAGATCACGTTGATCAACATAGCAAGACCCTCATTACTAAAATAAAAAGGGGGGGGGGATATGTATATACGTAGCCAGGTTTCATGGTGGTGTGTGCCCTGCAATCCCAGATAATTGGGAATCTGAGGCAGAAGGATTGCTTGAGCCCAGGAGTTGGAGGCTACAGTGAGCTGTGCTTACACCACTGCACTCCAGCTTGAGCAACAGAGTAAGACTCTGTGTCCTAAAAAAAAAAAAAAAAAGAAAGAAAGAAAGAAATAGTTCCACTCTGAAGGACTTGCATTCTACCTGGGGAGAAATTCTACCTGGGCATGACACATGCAGCAAATATAAAGGTTTGGAGGAGGGGAGAAAATGTCAAGAATTGGTTAGGAGAGTGAGCCTGCTGCCCTGCAGGACAGTAGATTCTGATGGGGCTGAGTCTTCTCGAATACAAATGCTCAAGAGCACAACAGTCAGTGTGTGACAAATGGCCAAAGCCTTGTGTGTGCTCTCACTTTCTGTGGCACCAGGAGTCAGCAATGTCAGTGTCCACGACCCTCCAAGACCACACCCCTTTCAGCCTCATTGCCACCACATTGCTTCTGCAGCTTTTGTCTCATGCTCTCTCTTTAAACAGGATGGCTGTGGATATTGTGTTTACAGTGAATGACAAACCCCAAATTCACCCCAAGGTCTTGGGGGGGGGGGTCTTTGATGGAAGGAGCCACCCAGAATAATTAGAACCATGGGGAATTTTAATGGCACATGGCAGAAAATCAGGGAAAACATGAAGATTCAGTACATAACAGAGGAGAACTCATGATGAAGCAGCACTGTGCACCTAGAGCACTTTAAAGTCAGAGGGACTGCAAAGGCTTCTGCATGTCTCAAGTAGCACACACCCTCAGGCTTGCTCCAGTAAATTTCAGGTGGGAAGGCCAAGGGCCAACAGTTTCCAGAGATGGGCCAGTGGGGCTGTGAAATTAGCAGGTCCTTCTGGACCCAGGGTTGCAGATCTGCACATTGTCTTGCACTCCAGATCCCTGGCTGCCCAGCCCCCTGTGGCTACTGGCTTCTGATCCTCCCCAGACACCACCCCACCCTGTGGCTGCTAACTTCCCACCTTCTCCCTATACACCCTCGATTTCCCTTTCTCCCAATTCATTCTCCTGAAAACAAAGATGTGAGAATACTCTTAATGGAGTGGCCATCCCCATTTCCAGACATCTTTTATGAGAACCTGACACTTGCAAGCAGGGTCATCCTCTGATTGCTGCTGCAGCTTCTTTAGAGCACATTGGCCTCATCATGGACATGTCTAGCAAACCCATGAATCCACATCTGACATTTGGGAGATTATTGTTGAGGCCCTAATTCTCTGAGGCTGAAAATAAAATGGAAACTGGGTGTGGTGACTCACACCTGTGTGGTCCCAGCTACTTAAGAGGTTGAGGTGGGAGAATCACTTGAGCTCAGGAGTTGGAGGCTGCAGTGAGCTGTGATGATGCCACTGTACTTCC